CCCTGTGTCCCCTGTGTCGAGGGTCGCCTGCGGGCTACCCCTCACTCCTCCCCGTTTCCTCCGACGGAGGCCCCGATGCAGACGCTTCACATGGACGTGTGGGGCCCAGCCCGCGTCCGTGGACAGGGTCACGAGGGCTACTTCCTGCTGGTGGTTGACGACTACTCGCGTTACACCACAGTCTTCCCCTTGCGCAGCAAGGGTGATGTCACTGCGGTGTTGATCGACTGGATCCGCGCAGCTCGTCTCCAGCTCAGGCGGAGCTTCGGCTCGGACTTTCCTGTTTTGCGTCTGCACTCAGACAGAGGCGGAGAGTTCTCCTCCGGCCTTTTGCGAACCTACTGTCAGGCGCGAGGCATCCGCCAGACCTTCACGCTTCCGGACTCTCCACAGCAGAATGGGATTGTTGAGCGCCGCATCGGCATTGTCATGGACGTCGCCCGTACGTCCATGGTGCATGCGGCTGCCCCCCATTTTCTGTGGCCGTTTGCGGTTCGGTACGCAGCGCATCAGATCAACCTTCAGCCCAGGGTCTCCAGACCGGAGACCTCCCCAGCTTTGCTGTGGACGGGGAAGGTTGGCGATGCGTCGGCGTTCTGTGTCTGGGGATCTCGGGCGTTTGTCCGCGACTTGTCTGCGGACAAGCTGTCCCCTCGTGCTGCTCCTTGCGTCTTCCTGGGTTTCCCCCCTGACGCGCCAGGGTGGCAGTTTTACCACCCCACCTATCGTCGTGTTCTGTCCTCCCAGGACGTCACGTTCAACGAGTCGGTTCCCTTCTACCGGCTCTTCCCCTACCGCACTCCGTCCCTCCCCCCGCCGCCCCTCTTCCTGGTCCCAGGTCCCCCCCCGGTAGACCCCCTCCCCCCTCAGGGTCCTGCCCCTTCAGGTGTGTCTCAGGTAGACGCGGTAGAGCCTGTTGAGGTCACTGGTGACTCTGGTGCTGCTGCGGGTGCGGAGCCTCGGGGTGCTGAGACTGGGGGTGCTGAGCCTGGGGGTGCTGAGCCTAGGGGTGCTGAGACTGGGGGTGCTGAGCCTGGGGGTGCTGTGCCTTGGGGTGCTGAGCCTGGGGGTGCTGAGTCTGGGGGTGCTGAGCCTGGGGGTGCTGAGCCTGGGGGTGCTGAGCCTGGGGGTGCTGGGCCTGGGGGTGCTGAGCCTGGGGGTGCTGCGTCTGGGAGTGCTGCGCCTGCTGCTTCTGTTCCTGGTGGTTCTCCGGACCGTTCTTCGCGCCGCGAGCCGCTCTCTCCTCTGGAGCTGCGTGAGTGGTTTGCCCGGCGCTGGAGGCGAGCTGCTGGAGCTGGGGGTGCTGCGGGTGCTCGAGGTTCTGTTGCTGCCGAGGGAGCTGGTACCACGGGTCCCGGAGGTGCTCGTACTTAGAGTACTGGAGCTGCCGGGCCCGGGGGTGCCTCTGGAGTTGGAGCTGCTGCAGGTGCTGGCGCTGAGACTACGACTGTCGGTCCTACTGAGGGTAATTCTGGTGCTGCTGGAGGTGCTGGAGTTGGAGCTGCTACTGGTGCTGGTGCTGCCTCTGGAGGTGTTGGTGCTGTCCCTGCTGTCTCTGGCGGTGCTGCGCGGCCTCGGCCGTACTTCGTTCCGCTCCTTCAGCAGGTTCTTGGTCTCCCACCTTCCACTGGTCCTTCTCCTCCTGTAGAGTGCCCACAGCCTGTCCCGTCGTAGTCACAGTTACAGCCCGCCTCTCCCCTGCCTTCTCCTTCTCCCTACACTGGTCCTACTGGAGGTCTTGCTGAGCGTTGTGAGCCTGCGTCCCGCCCTGCGTCGCCAGTCCGAGCTGCTCGCCCTAGTGGTCGCGGTTCGCGGCAGCGTCCTCCTCCTGTCCCTGGCACACACGGGATGTCTCTGTGTCCGTCCACTGCTCCTCTGCATGCCCCTTTGCCTTCTCCTCCTCAGTCTTCTCTTCCTACACTTGCCGACCCGGAGTCAGAATCTCGCCGTGCTGCCAGTCCTACTGTCAGGCGTCTTCTTGCTACTCTTGTCACTGACCCTTCCTTTGAGTTCGCTGCTGCGTCTGCCCTAGTTGCTGAGCTGGTCGACTTTGCTGCTGCGTGTAGTCTAGACTACGCTGCCAGTCTTGTTGCTGAGCCTGCTGAGTCTGCTGAGTCTGCGTCTGCTGCGTCTCCGTCTGCCTGTCCTCCGTCCGTCGGGGGTGACTGTGCTCTTGGCACGGACGTCCTTGAGGACAGGCAGGAGGAGTTTCAGTGCTTTGCCGCCGCTTTGCCCCATCTCGTGTCCATGCTTGTTGCCCCTGAGGGAGACCCGGATGCTCTTGACATCCCGACCCCACGCTCTTACGCAGAGGCGATGGCCGGTCCCTACTCCTCTCAGTGGCAGTCAGCCATGGACGCAGAGATGGCTTCCTGGAAGTCCACAGGCACCTACGTTGACGCTGTTCCCCCTCCTGGGGCGAACATTGTCAGTGGCATGTGGATCTTCAGGGTGAAGCGGCCGCCGGGTTCTCCGCCTGTCTTCAAGGCGCGCTACGTGGCTCGTGGCTTCAGTCAGCGACAGGGAGTTGACTTCTTCCAGACCTTCTCCCCGACCCTAAAGATGACCACTCTTCGGGTTCTACTGCACGTCGCTGCTCAGCGTGACTACGAGCTACACTCTCTTGACTTCAGCACTGCTTTCCTGCAGGGCCGCCTGCACGAGGAGATCTGGCTGCGCCGCCCTCCTGGCTTCACTGGGTCGTTCCCTCCTGGTACCCAGTGGAGCCTCCGGCGGCCAGTCTACGGTCTCCGTTAGGCGCCGCGTGATTGGCACGACACACTGAGGACTACACTTGCGGCTCTTGGGTTTGCTCCTTCTACTGCTGACCCGTCGCTGTTTCTGCGCACCAACACCTCGCTGCCGCCGTTCTACATCCTCGTGTATGTCGACGACTTGGTCTTTCCCACTGCGGACACTGCCGCACTCGCCCACGTGAAGTCCGAGCTGCAGAAGAGACACACGTGCACAGACCTGGGTGAACTGACAAGCTATCTTGGCATGCGGATCACCCGGGACAGAGCACGCCGCACCATTACCCTGACTCAGTCACACATGGTGCAGCAGGTCCTTCAGCGCTTCGGCTTCACGTACTCCTCACCTCAGTCCACTCCTCTGCCTACGGGACACTCGCTCTCAGCTCTGCCTTCGGATGAGTCCGTAGAGTCGAGTGGTCCGTATCCAGAGCCTGTGGGGTGCCTCATGTACCTGATGACCTGCACTCGACCTGACCTCGCATACCCTCTCAGCATCTTAGCACGCTATGTTGCTCCCGGCCGTCACCGGAAGGAGCACATGGATGCAGCTAAGAGGGTGTTGCGCTACTTGTGCAGTACGTCGGGCATGGGGCTAGTGCTTGGAGGGCGAGAGCGGCCTGTGCTCACTGGGCACTCAGACGCTTCTTGGGCTGACGACCAGGCTACTCAGCGGTCGTCTCAGGGTTACACCTTCAGTCTTGGCTCTGGCTCTGTCTCTTGGCGCTCTACTCGCTCTTCTTCGGTTCTCAGCTCCAGCTGTGAGGCTGAGATCTACGCCACGGCCATGGCTGCCCACGAGCTTCGCTGGCTCACCTACCTGCTGACTGACCTTGGAGAGCGGCCTCGTTCTCCTCCAGTGCTGTACGTCGACAACAAGGCAACCATTGCCTTGTGTCAGGAGCACAGACTAGAGCACAGGACGAAGCACATTGCTCTGCGCTACTTCCTTGCTCGAGAGCTGCAGCAGCGTGGTCAGCTTCGCCTGCGTTTCGTGGCTACTGAGGCCAACACTGCTGATGTGGTCACCAAGGCACTTCCGCCTCGTGACCATCAGCGCTTTTGCACTCTGCTAGGCCTTGTGCCCACTGGGCCTCACTTGCTTACCTCTTGACCTTGCTTGTACTGCTGCATATATATATCCTTGCTCCTGCTTGTTTAGCACTGTTATATATATATGCTCTGCTGCATGTGAACTGGCCTTGTGGCCTTGACCTTGTGCTCGGAATTTGTGTGGTATCCTTGAGATCCACCCTGAGCTTGCTTTGCTTTGCTTTGCTTTACTTGACTGGTCTTGTGACCCCTTGCTCTCCCCCACTTTGCCTATGGGGGTGTGTCAGATGATTATATTGCTGATGCATATATGTAGGCTGTAGTGGGGTAGCCCATAGGGGGTACAACCCAATTAGGGTTGGTACTTGTACTTGTTTCATTTCATAGTGCACCATTCCTCGCCTCTATCTCAACATAATCTGTTACTGTACGAGTGCTAGAAACATAGAACATATATAGAAACTCTTTATCCTGTAGAAAAAATGTTGGAGAGTGATAAACCATAAGCCCGGCCATGCAGGAAAAATGCTCTTTTTTTTTTTTTTTTTTTTTTTTTTTTGAAAGTGAAAGCTTATACAAACAGGAGTACAAGCAAAACACTACAGTCATAACTGTGTCTGTAGGGCTCGAGCCAGGCGGGAACCTAGCCCTCCCTACGGGTTTATGGCGGTTTTGTGAAAGTTCTCGGATTCGTCCATATGGACTGGAAACCATCCTGCCACCTCAGCCCAATTGCCCCGTTGTCACATATCCGCTTCATGACACGTGCCTCATCTTGCGCCAGATTCCACCTCGCCTTATCCCTCCGTGCCTGCTTGCTAGGCCTGCTACAGTAGATCCTGACGTGTTTATTGAATTCCACGTTTATCCTCCGAAGCACCTTCCGAACAAGAAACCTCCTTGTTTTCTGCAGTGACACGTCACACCTCCCTAGCCATATCTGGTGAACTGCCACCGCCACCATCGCTGCTTCCGGAAAACCGGACCTCGTCTCCTCTTTCCCGAACAACAAGTCTGCCAACCGGTCCACGTGTCTCGCCGGCTGCATCATACCGAGTGCTGCTTTGATAGCAGCCACCACTGGCGCGACGCGCGTGCAGTCCAACAAGCAGTGCTCCAGTGTCTCTTTCTTCCCGCAGAGCGGGCTAGCGTCCCCCCCTCGCAGGAACGGAACCCTCTCCCCCACTTGGAGGTTTAGGTTCTGCACCCGGAGCAGCACATCCCACGCACGTAGAGGAGTGACCAGGGAATCCCTAATGCACCTCCCTCGCTCCCAATCAATCTTCCTGCCCGCTCGAGCTTCCCAGCTTGCCCTCTTAACCTCTACCGCCTCGGCATCCTTGCCCCATCCCCTGGGCCTTTTCAGCGAGGCCACCTCGTCCTCCTCAAACAGAGATGAAGCCAGCAGCCGCGCCCTGGCATCTCCGACCACCCTTATAGCTCGTGACTTGGAGAACACCACTGGCACCACACTATCACACCCCAGCACAATCTTCACCTTCCATGCCGCTCGCTCCCTGTTACCGCCAAGGCCACACAGCTCAACCTTCCTTCCCATACAGGCATAGATCTCCCACAGACACCTCTGGCCCCCCAGAAACATAGGGCACACCACTGACGACGCAGTTGCAACCTCGTCCGCCGTCAGCGGCGCCGTCAGCCATTTTCTCCACTGCTCCGGAGCTGCCGCGAAAGCCTTTAGCGCCATCTCTGCTTCTTTATCCCCCCCCAGCTCTCTCGCCAGCGTTTCTTTTGACTTCACCACCACCGTGCCGTCCCACTTCCGTAGAACCATATCCCGCATCTTCCATTTTCTCAGCTTCTCAGTGCCTTGCTGTCCGCCAAAAGGGGCGTTCCCCCGGTGGATGATCCGCTTGTTGAAACAGAGGAACTCCTCCGCCGCCTCCCATCTCGACGCCGTTTCTTTCACCTCCACCGCCGTCAATTTAAGCACCGCCTTACAAATTCTCGCCCACCTCCTGCTTTGAATCAAACCCCCTTTCAACACTGCTTTGAGAAGAAGTGAACGAGAGAATGAGTGAACTATGAACGAAGTGAGTACAAATAGGAAACCCTAACTGGGTTGTACCCCCTATGGGATACCCCACTATAGCCTACATAAATGAGTAAGCTATAATGTTCTGACACACCCCCATAGGCAAAGTGGGGGAGAACAAGGGGTCACAAGACCAGTCAAGCAAAGCAAAGCAAAGCTCAGGGTGGATCACAAGGTCACCACACATTCCGAGCACAAGTTCAAAAAGGCCAGAAGGCCAGTTCACATGCAAGATCATATATAAAGATATACAAGAGTCAAGCAAGTAAGAGCAAGAGTATATATAGGTGAAGGTACAAGCAAGGTCAAGAAGTGAGCAAGTGAGGCAAGACAGACACAAGACCCAACTGCGTGCAACAACGCTGATCATCACAAGGCGCAAGTGCCTTAGTGAAGACATCAGCAGTGTTGGCCTCAGAGGCCACGTACGCAAGTCGCAACTGTCCACGCTGCTGCAGCTCACGAGCAAGAAAGTAGCGGAGGGCAATGTGCTTCGTTCTGTGCTCCAGTCGCTGCTCTCGACACAAGGCCAGCATGGCCTTGTTGTCTACGTACAGGACTGGAGGAGAACAAGGCTGCTCTCCAAGGTCGGTCAGCAGGTAGGTGAGCCAGCGTAACTCCTGTGCAGCCATAGCCCCGGCGTAGATCTCAGCCTCACAACTGGAGCCGAGAACAGAAGACGAGTGAGTAGCCCGCCACGAAACAGAGCCGGAACCAAGGCTGAAGGTGTAACCCTGTGACGACCGCTGAGTAGCCTGGTCGTCAGCCCAAGAAGCGTCCGCGTGCCCAGTGAGGACCACTGGACTGCGCCCTCCAAGCACTAGCCCCATGCCCGACGTACTGCACAAGTAGCGCAACACCCTCTTCGCTGCAGCCATGTGCTCTGGTCGGTGTCTCCCAGGAGCAACATAGCGTGCGAGAATGCTAAGAGGGTATGCAAGGTCAGGACGTGTGCAGGTCATCAGGTACATGAGGCAGCCAACAAGCTCTGCAAACGGGCCACTCGACTCTACGGACTCATCCGAAGGCAGAGCTGAGAGCGAGTGGCGAGTAGGCAGAGGAGTGGCCTGAGGCGAGGAGTACGTGAAGCCGAAGCGCTGAAGGACCTGCTGCACCATGTGTGACTGAGTCAGGGTAATGGTGCGGCGCGCTCTGTCCCGGGTGATCTGCAAGCCAAGGTAGCTACGCAGTTCACCCAGGTCAGTGCACGTATGTCTCTTCTACAGCTCGGACTTCACGTAGGCGAGTCCAGCAGTGTCAGCTGTGGCAAAGACCAAGTCGTCGTCGTACACGAGGATGTAGAACGGCGGCAGAGAGGTGTCGGTGCGCAGAAACAGCGACGGGTCGGCAGTAGACGGAGCAAACCCAAGTGCCGCGAGCGTAGTCCTCAGTGTGTCGTGCCACTCACGTGGCGCCTGGCGGAGACCGTAGACTGGACGCCGGAGACTCCACTGGGTACCAGGAGGGAAAGACCTAGTGAAGCCAGGTGGGCGGCGCAGCCAGATCTCCTCGTGCAGACTGCCCTGCAAGAAAGCTGTGCTGAAGTCGAGAGAGTGCAGCTCGTAGTCACGTTGAGCAGCAACGTGCAGCAGAACCCGAAGAGTGGTCATCTTCGGGGTGGGGGAGAAGGTCTGAAAGTAGTCAACCCCCTGCCGCTGACTGAAGCCACGAGCCACGTAACGCGCCTTGAAGAGAGGCGGAGAACCCGGCGGCCGCTTCACCCTGAAAATCCACATGCCACTGACGATGTTCGCCCCAGGAGGGGGGACAGCGTCGACGTAGGTGCCTGTGGACTTCCAGGAAGCCATCTCTGCATCCATAGCTGCCTGCCACTGAGAGGAGTAGGGACCCTCTATCGCCTCCGCGTAAGAGCGCGGAGTCGGGATGTCTGGTGCATCCGCGTCTCCCTCAGGGGCTAGCAGTACAGACGCGAGATGGGGTGAAGCGGCGGCCAGACACTGGAACTCCTCCTGCCTGTCCTCAAGGACGTACGTGCCGAGGGCACACTCACCCCCGACGGACGGAGGACAGGCAGACTCTGACTCAGCGACAAGACTGGCAGCGTAGTCTAGACGACAGCGCGCAGCAAAGTCGACAAGCTCAGTGACAAGGGCAGACGCAGCAGACGACTCAAAGGAAGGGTCAGTGACAGCAGTAGCAAGGAGACGCGTGACAGTAGGACTGGCAGCACGAAGAGAGTCCGACTCCGGGTCGGCAAGAGCAGGAAGAGAGGAAGCAGGAGGAGAAGGTAAAGGGGCACGCAGAGGAGCAGTGGACGGACGCAGAGACATCCGGTGCGTGCCAGGGACAGGAGGAGGACGCTGAAGCGACCCGCGACCACTAGCGCGCTCAGTACGAACAGGCGACGCAGGACGAGACGCAGGCTCACGACGCTCAGTAAGACCTCCAGTCGGACCAGCGTAGGGAGAAGGAGCAGGCAAAGGGGAGGCAGGCTGTAGCTGTGGCTGTGACCGGACAGGCTGCGGACCCTCTAAGGGAGGAGGAGGAGGTGGAAGACCTAGAACCTGCTGCAGGAGCGGAACGAAGTACGGTCGGGGCCGCGCGGCGACGCCTGAAACAGCAGGAACAGCACCAGCACCCCCGGCAGGAGCACCCACTCCAGTAGCACCTCCAGCAGCACCACCAGATGCTCCAGAACCTCCAGCAGCAGCACCAGGAGCACTGTCAGTCGGACCGCCAGCGGCAGGCTCAGCGCCAACCCCCTCAGCAGCACCAGCTCCAGGAGAACTCGCAGACCCAGCAGCTCCAGCACCCACAGGACTAGCACTGCCGGGACGCGCGGCAGCAGTGCCCCCTGCAGCCGAAGAACCACCAGCACCAGCAGCACGCCTCCAGCGCCTAGCAAACCACTCACGCAGCTCCTGTGGGGAGAGTGGCTCCCGGCGAGACGAAGCACCCCCAGGCTCAGCACCCCCAGGCTCAGCACCCCTAGGCACAGCACTCCTAGGCACAGCACCCCCAAGCTCGGCACCTCCAGGCTCAGCACCCCCAGGCACAGCACCCCCAGGCTCAGCACCTCCAGGCTCAGCACCCCCAGGCTCAGCACCCCCAGGCTCAGCACCCCCAGACTCCGCACCCCCAGGCTCAGCACCCCCAGACTCCGCACCCCCAGGCCCAGCACCCCCAGACTCCGCACCCCCAGGCTCTGCTCCCGCAGCAGCACCAGAGTCACCAGTGACCTCGACAGGCTCGATCGCGTCTACCTGGGACACACCTGAAGGGGCAGGACCCTGAGGGGGGAGGGGGACAACCGGGGGGGGACCTGGTACCAAGAAGAGCGGGGGTGGGGGGAGGGACGGAGTGCGGTAGGGGAAGAGGCGGTAGTAGGGTACCAACTCGTCGAACGTGACGTCCTGGGAGGACAGAACACGTCGAGAGGAGGGGTGGTAGAATTGCCACCCAGGGGCGTCGGGGGGGAACCCTAGGAAGACGCAGGGAGCAGCGCGAGGGGACAGCTTGTCCGCAGACAAGTCGCGGACAAACGCCCGAGATCCCCAGACCCGGAACGCCGACGCATCGCCAACCTTCCCGGTCCACAGCAGGGCTGGGGAGGTCTCCGGCCTGGAGACCCTGGGGTGGAGGTTGATCTGATGCGCTGCGTACCTGACCGCAAACGGCCACAGAAAATGGGGGGCAGCCGCATGCATCATGGACGTACGGGCGACTTCCATGACCATGCCAATGCGGCGCTCAGCAATCCCATTTTGCTGTGGGGAGTCCGGAAGCGTGAAGGACTGGCGGATGCCTCGCGCCCGATAGTAGGCACGTAGAAGGCCAGAGGAGAACTCTCCGCCTCTGTCAGAGTGCAGACCCAACACAGGAAAGTCGGAGCCAAAGCTCTGCCTGAGCTGAAGACGAGCAGCGCGGATCCAGTCGATCAGCACCTCAGTAACCTCACCCTTGCTGCGCAAGGGGAAGACTGTGGTGTAACGCGAGTAGTCGTCAACAACGAGCAGAAAGTAGCGCTCCTGACCGTGTCCACAGACGCGGGCTGGGCCCCACACGTCCATGTGAAGTGTCTGCACCGGGGCCTCTGTCGGAGGAAACTGGGAGGAGTGAGGGGCAGCACGCTGGCGCCCCTCGACACAGGGGACACAGGCAGGGCCAGGGCCCTGAGGAAGGGAAGGTAGAGACCGGGGGAGACCAGACACAAGAAGACGGGAGGCCATGCCTCTGAGCCGAAGCAGAGAGGGGTGGCCAAGGCGGTGGTGCTAGAGGAGGGTCTCGTGAGACAGACGACGACACGAACAGGGGGAAGACTTAGGACCAGACCTGGACGCTGCGGCAAACACCTGACCAAAAGAAGGGACCCTACCAGACTCAGTACCTGGAGGAGAAGCAGTGGTCAGTGTGTACAGGCTCGACCCTGGCCGACGTGTAAACGTAGCCAGGTGGCGTCCCGTGCTAGCCTCCGTGCAGTGGGTCACCCGCTGACGAGCAGGAGTGAACTGGTGGACACCCGCATCCTGTAGGTCAGCACCACTCACCAGGTTCGTCGAGAACGAGGGGAGGTAGAGACCAGACAGGGTGCCAGAGGGGGCCGCCGGACACGGAAGTACCGTGGAGAAGCGAGACAGAACAGGCCCCCCAGAGGGGTCAGCCAGGGACACCGCAACCGGCCGGCTCAGCGGCGTGAGAGTAGTGCGGTCCCGAAAGAAGGAGCGAGACGCTCCAGAGTCAAGTGTGAAGGTGTGAGAGGCCGAAGCCGACACAGTACCTGAGAGGGCAGACTCACCAGTACCTGAGAGCACAGGCGCACTGGCACCTAGAGCAGCAGCCTCACTAGTACCTGACGCAGCAGTACCAATGCCCGAGTCGGGCGGGAAACACCGGTAACAGTCATCCTCATCACTACCAGTCACAACATACATAGCAGAAAGAATAGCATCAAAGTCAAGATCATAAATGGCTACACCAGCCCTAGACAGCTCCCCCCAGCGGGGGATCTCAGCGGCCTCCGGAAACTGCTGACGCCAGGCGTCGGTCAGGCGGCCAAAGCAGCGGCGGGCTGTGTGGGTGCCTCCACACCTCTCCCCCGCACGGTCGCCGGTGCGAAGAACGTAGGGGCAGGGACCAAACGCACCACCACGCTGACGCTGCAAGTACCACTCACGGAGCTGCTGAGGGGCGGGGACGGTGCGAGAGCGCTGCTGCTGCTGCTGCTGCTGCTGGCGCTGACCACCCCCAGAGCTGCTCCGCTGGGACGAGCCACTCCGACCCCCGCCGCCACCGCCACTCCCGCCTCCACCACCGCCCCCGTCTCCACCGCCACCGCCCCCACTGGTACCCTCGCCCCCGCCTCCTCCGCTACCGCCTCCGCCGCCACCTCCGCCTCCACCGCCTCCACCAGTACCTCCACTCCCGCCACCACCTCCACCGCCACCCCCACTCCCCCCGCCACCCCCACCTCCTCCGCCACTGCCTCCTCTAGCTCCACCCGCTCCCTTGCCCCCCTTGCCCTTGCCAGAGCGGCGTCTACCGCTGGGGGCAGACGCCGCACCGACCGACTCAAAACCAGCGAGGTCGGCCGCAGCGGCAGAGGCGACAGAGGGCAGCAGGGGGGAAGGAGAACACCCCTCAAAGATGGGGGTGCGAGGGTCACCCCGAGAGGCCCCTACAGCGACGATGCTCTTCTCAGCCGCTAGCAGGGACTCCTCAAGGAGGTCGACAGTGAGGGTGGTGGGACAGACAAAGAGAAACTGGTCCCGAACGACACGAAGGTTTTCAGGGAGACGGGTGACAAGAAAGTAGAGAGTGATGTACATGGGAGGAGGGTTGGCGGCGCGGAACTCAGCAGGAAGGGCAGCGCGGTAGCGAGCGTCACTAGCGCGGAGGTGGGTAATGAGGTCAGCGACAGTGGGAAAGGCAGCGAGGTCAGGGAAGAGAAAAGGTAGCATGAGGCGGCTCAGCGTAGCGGAGGAAGGGGAGGAGTAGCGTGCAACTACAGCGTCATACAAGGCCTGAGCGGTCTTGCACTGACTAAAGTGGGCACGCTCGGAGGAAGGGAGGTGGCGACGCACAGCAAGACGTGCAGCAGCATCGCGGGTCGCCCACTTGGAGCGAACGGCGGAATCAGCATCAGGAGGAGGGGCAGGGACAGCGCCAGAGACAAAATCAAAGAGAGAGACCTCATCGACCGCATCACACAGTAAGTACAGCTGCAGGTCCTCAATCCAGACTGCAAAGTCAATGGCTCTACCCTCAGCGTCAAAAGCTAGGACATTGGGGGTAGCCATGACAGCAGCTGACAGTCTCACCGGGCAGGAAGAGTCGGGTAGGTCAGCGGCGCAGGTACACAGCCCAGGAGCAGCAGTAGCCCGACAAGAGCAGGAGTGCAGCTCCTCTGGCGGCTCGGGCAGCTCGGGCGGCTCGGGCGACTCGGGCGGCTCGGGCGGCGCGGGCGGCCCAGGCGGCTCGGGCGGCTCAGGCGGCTCGGGCGGCGATTCACGGGCGGCTGGGACGGCGCGCGGGGAGCTCACGGGCGGCTGGGCGGCTTACGGGCGGCTGGGACGGCGCGCGGGGAGCTCACGGGCGGCCAGGGCGGCTCACGGGCGGCGGCGGCCGCGTCGGCGGCTCATGGGCGACGGCAGCGGCAGCGGCGTCGGCGGCTCACGGGCGGCGTCGGCGGGGTCGGCGGCTCACGTGTGGCGTCGGCGGCGTCGGTGGCTCACGGGCGGCGTCGGCGGCGTCGGCTGCTCACGGGCGGCGTCGGCAGCTCACGGGCGGGCTGAAGGCCCACGGGTGGGCGGTTCGCGGGCAGCGCCGGCCCACAGGCGGGCGGCGTGACGGGCGGGCGGCGGGACGGGCGGCGGCGTCACGGGGGCGGGGGGGGCGACGTGACGGGCGGCGGCGTCACGGGCGGCGGCGTCACGGGCGGCGGTTCACGGGTGGCTGCGTCACGGGCGGCGCTCACGGGCGGCGGCGCACGGGCGGCGCTAAAGGGTGGCGCGACGGGCGGCGGCTCACGGGCGGCGCTACGGGCGGCGGCTCACGGGCGGTGCTACGGGCGGCCGCACGGGCGGCGCTACTGGCTGCGCAAAGGGCGGCGCGAACGGGCAGCCGCACGGGCGGCGCTAACGGGCGGCTCGAAGGGGCGGGCGCTAGGGCGGGCGCTAGGGCGGGCGCCAGGGCAGAAAAAAAAAAAGTTCTAGGTGGTGGGCCCGAAGCACAGTTCCCACAGGGGAACCTGCTCTTATTCCATGAGAAGAAGTGAACGAGAGAATGAGTGAACTATGAACGAAGTGAGTACAAATAGGAAACCCTAACTGGGTTGTACCCCCTATGGGATACCCCACTATAGCCTACATAAATGAGTAAGCTATAATGTTCTGACATGCTTTGTGCGCGTATAGCGTCGCCCACCCCAGAGGCATTCCCGCCGCCCTTTCCGCCAGTCCGCGTCGTAGAGAGCACTCTTGCAACAGCGTCAAACCTGTGCATCGTAAGGCAACACTATCTATTCTTCTGCGTGGGTCGATCTCCCCCAGCCCCCCCAGTTCTCTCGGCGCGTAAATCAGTCCGCCGCTCCACAGTCTGAAGTGTTTTTCTGTATCCGTGTGGTTTCCCAACACGAAATTCTCAACCAGCTTATCCACCCTTCTCCACAGCAGGTCATCCGGAGGATACACCTGCGCCTGGAACAGGAAGATCGGGATGATATAGCTGTTGATGATGGTCACCCTCGCGCCCGTCGTTAAATACTTCACTTGCCATTTACTCAACTCCCCTGTAGCCCTGTCGAAAGCTTTTTCCCACGTAATCTCTGCACTTCCCCCAGGTGTTATCAACACCCCCAACAACCTTTCTGCAGTCTCTCTCTCCACCCACTTGTAGCCCAAACCAGCCGGCGCCGGCTCCCCCACGTTCTTCCCCAGCGGCAGCACAACAGACTTCCCGGTGTTCACCTTCAGCCCCGACACGGCTGCAAACCCTTGGAGCACCGGGCCCGCCGCCGCTAATTGTGCCTCTCCTTCCAGCAGTAGCGTGGTGTCGTCTGCGTAACCCACGTACGCGAGTCTTTCACAGCCCTTCTCTCCAAGTCCCAGCTCCCTCTTCTCAACCAAGCGACTAAGCGGCTCCACCGCGCACAGAAACAGGTAAGGTGCAAGCGGGCACCCTTGCCGCACCCCCTTCCGCATCTGAATCTGCTCCCCAGTCCATCCATTAATGCACAGCCTCGTGTGTAAGTCTCTGTGCAGGGTCTCGATCCAGCCCACAAAACGCGGGGGGAAACCGAGCTTGGCAATCGTCTCCAGCATGAAACCCCTCTGTACTGAATCGTACGCTTTCTCGAAATCGATGAGGAGCAAATACCAGTCACTGTCTTCGTTCTTGGCCGTCTCAATCAAATCGGCCACCAGCGACACTACATCTGTAAGTCTCCTGCCTGGTAAAAACCCAAACTGCTCCTTCGAAATCACTTGGTCAAGCACCGCTTTCATCCTGGTCGCCACCACCTTAGCTAGAATCTTGTACACGCTAGTTAGGAGCGTGATTGGTCTGTAATTTCTGACATCTGTCTCCTCCCCCTTCTTGTATAGCACGATCGTAACAGCTTCATTCGCCACCTCCGGTAGCTTCCCTGATGACACGAACTCCTCTACCATGCTCATCACCGGCTTCCTTAGCAACTCCCACTGGTGCTGGAACAGCTCCTTAGGAATCCCATCACAGCCTGGCGACTTGCCGTTGGCCAACTCCCCTGTTGCTTGTTTGACCTCTGCCTCCGTCCAATCCCTTGATATAGCTTCAGCAGATGCCTCCTCCAGTACCCTGCGCAGAGTCCAATCCAACACCGGCTCTGCCCCGTCGTTCCCCGACTGCTCACCAAACGCCTCCGCGAAGTGGCCCGTGGCCGCTGCCAGTATCTCTTTGGCTTCTGTATGGCTGACGCCATTCCGCACCAACTCCTTGATCCCCGTCCTTGCTTTTCTGCTCTTGACCATCGCTGACAAGAGAGCGGTTGGCGCTTCACCGTTGAGCTGTACCTTCAACCCCGTTCTTGTTTGCGGGAAATCCCTCCGACTGTCCCAGTACCTTTCCAGCATCGCCTCCCTGCTCGTCAGCACCGCTTGTAACTCATCATCACTCGGGTCAGCCATCACTTTCTGTTGCAGTGCGCTCACTTGACGTTCCAATGTTTGCCGTGTTCTTTTGACCCGCCCTCTCTCCTCCTTGTCGTACTTCCGTAGACGGGCACCCAGGCGCCTGGATAACTTGTCGAAATCAGCACCCCCCTCGGCTTCATGTCTCTGGACCACCTCCGCTACCGCCGCTTTAACCCCTGGACGCTTTGCCAACCTCGCCGGAAAGCGCCAGACACCCGGCCCGGGCTCCTGCGCGCCTCTCCACACCAGCCGCACACAGACCCCGCTCTTATGATCGGTGATCCCCTTCGGGATCCGCCGATGAGCCACTCTGGCAACAAGATGCAACAGCGCTTGCGAGACCAGCACCCTGTCAATACGTGAGCTGACTTTCGCCGACCCACATTAGAAGGTAAACTGCCGCTCATCCGGATTAAACTCCCTGAACACGTCCCTCACATGGAAATCTTGAAGTATATGCATCATCCTGTTGTTGTCACCAACCACGCCCTGACGATTTGATTTGTCTAGCACCGGGTCCTCAATCATGTTAAAATCGCCCGCGACCACCAGCTGCTCCCCCTTTGGCAGGTCTGCAGCAAAGAAGCTAAACTCTGATCCCAGGAAACTGCCCCTTGGAGGAGCCTGTGCCGGGAAGTACACTGCCAACAATCTCAGCTGCCGTGCACCCCACCGCACCCTTGCATGGAGCAACCTGCCCGACACATGCCGGTGAATGTCTTCGATACACACATCGTCCCGGAAACTCAGAATGGCCACCTTGCCTGCCCTGGTAGGCGCACCTGCTGCGGCCACGCTGTGAAGCCTTAACTCCGTCCAGAAATTGTGATCCTCTGCTACTCTCGTGGCTGCAAGTATCACTACATCCGCAGTTGTTTTGATCCATCTGTTCAACGCTTGTCGTTTTCCTTCGCTCCCCAAACCGTTGACATTCAGGGACAAGATGGTGAGTCGGTTGGTGTTACTCATTGATTAACCTCCACTGAGCCCCCCTTGCATCCAGAGGGCGTTGACACTGCAGCTTGTAACTCGATTATAAGGCGTGGAATACAACAAGACACCCGACATCACCACAAAGACTCTCTACGTGTTCCACCCGTACGGCGTAAGACGGTCCGTTTTTCCTTTCCCCCACAGCCTGGCCGCAGATCAGCATCACACACCGAACTCCTTCTTCGCCGCCTGCAGCGCCACACCTGCCTTTGAGGCACGCGATGCGAAACCGGCTAACACCCCGTCACTGTGCCTCTGTGAGACCACATGCTCTGCCGCCTGTGCAAAGGTAGCCCCATTCGCCTTCTCGTAGCACTCCTGCACACAGATCCATTCCTCGTGGTTCACTCCAGTCGAAATCAGCACCACCGTCAGGTCCTTCAAGATGAGCCTGGTCAGATCTGTGATCTGAACTGAGGCCGCTGCACGGATCCGACACATCCATAACATTAGCACCACTCCACTCTAAAAACGGCAACAGCAGGTGAGGAGTCAGAAAACACCAACCATTACCGTTGATCCCGTGCACCCGTCCCAGGGACAGGCTCCATTTGCCGATGTTGTTCTGCCGATCCACCACATACTCATCATGGTACCTTGTCATGTAAAACCCCGAACAGTAGGTATAGCTCTGTGAGGGGTAGTGGACCATCAGCTGCTTGTCATGCGCCGTCGGATCGTCGATCTTATGACGCCAACGGTATTTGTCGCCAGCATGCTGCTTCACCAATCCTTTCACCTTATCCGTATCCATGCCCGCAACAGGATTTACCACCCGATGAAAACAACACCCTTCCTTAAACGCAGATCGTCCCCTCTTCTCCAGTTTCACCATCACCAGCATTTCCCGCAGCATCTCAGGAGTGATGACGGCATCCACCCCCTTGAACAAAACTTCTACCAGCGTTGGGTCTGCAGTTCGCGCCTTCACGTACGCAGGGTCAACCGGGTGCTACCAGTCGAGGCTGATCCGCTTCCCATCCAGACACACGTGCACGATACCGTGCTTCCAGACGAAGTTCGCGTCCCGCGCTCGCTCAAAGGTAACTTGCAGACGGCTGTACTGCTTCTTGTTTAATTACACCACAGATAGCTCCTTAAACTTTGTCTCCCCTTGAATCTCAAACTTCAACTCCTTCTTCCACAAGGCAAAGAGCGCGCGTAGAGTCGTCTGCACCCGCGTCACCTCCGGCTTGAAGACAAGAGGGATTAGCAGGACAATGGCGAAACGGACACGCTGAACAACTTCTCTCTTCGCGGATGCATCATAACGTTCTTCAGGGTCATCACTAAGGTACCCGTCGTCCTCTTCATCGTCGTCCGTAGGTAAGACAGCCGTCGTAGCCTGACGCTTCTCCTGGCTGACATTGTTGCCTCCCGCACCATCTGCAGGCTCAGGCTTGTCAACACCATCCGTAGGAGGTGACGTTGCACCAGAGGCCGCTGATCCCAGCAGACTCCGCTCAGCATCCTGCACTCGCTGCGCCGACACACCCGGCTGAAGCGCGTCCTTATCCGCCTCCGTGAACAGATCCGATGTACGCTTGACAGCCGAGGATGCTGCAGTGTCAACCACCGCCGACACCTCCTTAGGCTTATCCAGGGCATTCCCCGTCAAGGCGTCCGTGTTACGGACACCGCCATTCCTGGTCGTCATCCTGGACATAGTGCGATGATGACTAGGCGAGAACTGGAAACCTCCTTGAGGTGAAAGCCAACGTCTGAGCACTGAAATTCCACCACCATTGTTGTCTCTTAAATGCTTAAACTTGAAACACCGAGAGGATGAGGTCCTGGAAAGTAGCTTGCTCCCCGATTCTTGCAGTAGATAACCAACCAATAAAGGCGTGTGAAAGAAACCAAGCTGGCAATCTTGATGACAACGCGAAAAACAGGTGTCATCCCTTGACCTTGCCGCGTTGAGCAGCCATGGAAGCTGTCGTGAAACCTTGGAGTTAGTTAACTTCACAGAAAACGGACCCTTCGGAGCATAAGATACAATGTCCGTCAGTTGGACACAAGAAGTGTATCTTAAGCTTCGTAAGAGTAAGGCGGTTCCGAATCCGTGAACATTGTAACCAACTGACACGTGGCCTTCACAAACAAGCTCCTTAAAGCCGTCAGGCGGAATCCATGGCGCAGAGGACATTAACATCCAGATGGAATCCATTGTAGGAAAAATGCTCTGAACGAGCTATAATTGTTTTAATCTGACATACAGAATGCCTAGAGCTATAAGTTCGCGAAAGAGTATGTTCCCATTTCTACTTTCGTAGTGATGGTAACACTCGCTTTTGTACTTTCGAAGCTCCAGAACAGTGAATCGTGCACCGGGAATGACGCTCTGCATGCTGTCGAGACGCGACACGAGAGTCCAAAGCTTTGTCGGGGCGAACTGGAGGTCTTGCTCCAACAAGTTTATGATTGGCCCTTACAGGTTTGGCCTGCCGAGCCATTCTGTGCTAACATCAGATCTCGAGCTAACCAAACCAGCGGAGCAAACGCGGAATGGCCTGGACTGGAGGTGTTGTCAACAAGGGGCAGCTCGGCTGAGGTTAGGGTGCGAAGCGGGGAAGCTCACCTGCGGTGCGGGATGCGCCTTCTGGTGCTAATCGTCGGTCGAGATTATAGGCGCGGTTTGTGATTAGCCAATATCGCCCGTTCAATTTGAGTGCACCAAGACAGCTGCGTATGCGGCGCGCAATTTCAGAGTTACAGGTTGTAAGCTATGTCGGGGAGTGAGTGAGACCATACCATCCACCACTCGACAAATTTGCCCTTCCATTCGTCACACCACCCAACATTTCTAGCCCCTGTTTCTCACCTTTTCAGCATCAACCACCTCCCTGCTTAGCTGGTTCTCTCTGCTTGTAGTAGGTTGTTGAGATTGATAGACACGAGCTGCCTGATTGAGTGCCTGGACGAAGGGTATGGCGAGATTTCTGGCTACCGTTGCCGCTTTGCTCGTGCTCGGTGTGCTGTCAGCCAGTATTTATCCCTGCGTGGAGGGCAAAAGGAACGCAGATGTGTTAGAGGAATGGAACGTTCAGGCAGCCGTCGCGATAAACATCCCCAAGACCCTTCCAAAAGCCGCAACGTTAGGGATTTTCAGCTTCGTCAAAGCGTTGCGTGAGTTCGAATTTCTTAGAAGCTTCCTTCTGTGGTGTATTTCCTTTCACCAAGGCATGATTCAGCTGGAGGTCAAAAGGCTGAAGTTAATGTTTCTGCTTTCCGTCGCCCACTTTCCTCTCCCAACCTTCTTGTCTCGACTCGCAGATGTCTTCGCCATGCGTCTTTCTAACCATTTCGTCTCCCTATCCGTTCTCTCCCCTCTCCCCTCCTTTTCCTCACCCATCTCCCAGCTTTCCCCTCTCCTCACACCTTTATGCTCTGGTGTCTTTTCTTTTCCTATTTCTGTTCTGGTATCTTATCCTTCCACCCTTTCTTCCCGCCCTCCTTCCATGCGCATATCCCACGTTCGTACTTGTGTGAAATCATACATCATACCACGCGCACCACCACCCCTTCGCGCCTTATACAACCCACGATCGCTCAGTGGTATACCGACGTTCTTCACACCCCTTCCCTGCCCATCCCCTCCCTTTAATCCTCTCCCCGCGTTCCCCGCCAGTGGCGGCGCGCAAGACGGGCGCGGCGACTCTCTTCGTGCCGCTCAACGCGGTTTATTTAACAAAGGACCTCCTACAGTATGGCGCGGATAAATTCGACCGGATCTTGAAGTACCACTTGATTGAGAACAACAAGTACCGGATCGAGGATCTTAAAGCCATGACCGAGGACACGCGGCTCCCGACCATGGAGGGCAGTAGTGTGAAGCTATTCTCCAAGAAAAACGCGACGGTGGTGATGCTTCAGGGGCGCGTGTTTCTGCCGTCGGTTGTCGTGGTCCCTAACGTGTATATCGGGTCCAAGATGGCCGTTCATCTCATCAGTCATCACCTTCTCCCCATGTCGTTTACCCCGTGATTGCTGCGCCGTGGGAAACTGAAAGAGCGGTGGTGCTTGGTGCCGTGGTGCTGATGGTGGTTGCAGCTGACGGAACGCTCGCAGCCTCATTGCCCCGCTCATGCCTCTACTGCTTCGTGCTCTTGATGTGAATAATCCCTTCGATCCTTCTAGACAAGATTTTACGGCCCAAGTAACGCTGATTGAAGCTGCTGGACACGCGTTACTCTCCTGCTAAGCCGAGATATGGTAGAGTATTCGGAACGGAGCGTTATCTGACTATTATAAGGCCCAGCCAGCAATGCACTTGATTGAGTCCAAGTGCATGCTCCATCCCATATGTAAGCCACTCAATGGTCGCTAGCGGCTTGTTGCTGTCGCTCCTGGTGCACCCTGGAACCTTGCCTGGGCTGCGTTGAGTGGCGTATGGGATGGGGTAGCATGCTCTCAGGTCTCATTTCCGCTTGCCATCTCTTTAGCTAAAACTATTTTGAGACGTTTCCAGGGTAGCATTTGCTTCATTTAGAGTAAGAGTACCTTCTGGCTGTTGAGTGCTGATCAAGCTTTGCCCATAACTTTATTTTTGGAGTAAACCTGCTGGCTTCGTTTCACTGGTACCAGTAGTTTCGAGATTTGAGTGAGCAGTGTTGAGAGACGTTACTTAGGAACCTTGGGGTTTTTTGGAAACAAGTACCGTAATTTAACTCTTCTGATGTGTCGGAACATCAAACTGCAAACGAGGCAAATTGCAGTGAAGCAACGGCGAGTCAACCAAGGAGGTTGACAAAACGTAACAGCTGGAGGTTACGCGAAGGTCGAAGGTTGGCGACCTTTGACTTGACAAAAGGCAGCGCGACAGCAAGGGCACACAACTGACTCGGTATTGAGCAGTTGCCCGAGTCGTCGCTGTATCAAACCTCAACAACAACAAAACAGTTAAAATCCATCTCTTCGTATTCTCTGTAATCTTATAAAAACCTTGTACTGCTTTGCTATGATCAATCTCTTGCTCTCACACACTAGTGCAAGCGGTTCAACAAGTTCACTAAAGAACACTTCCGCAATTACACCACCTCTACTCAGGGTCTGAGTAATGATCCTGGTAAGGGCTATTTTCTCAGCCCACCAGGGTTTAGGCTCAGCTAGCATGAGAGCGATGTGGGAAGGAGAAAAGAAGATTGGACTATCGAGAGAAAGAAACACGTACAAGCAAAGCACAGCAAGAGAGTGTCAAGAATGAAAGTGATTGTTTGACTAAGGTTGGTTGGGGTACATAAACCTAACCCTAACAGTTGTACCCCCTATAACACACATCATAAAGACTACAATATTTGACACACCCCCATAGTCTAAGTGAGGGGTGTCAAGCAAAACCAAGAATGTACGGTCACAAGACCAGTCACAAAGAAACAAAGCTCAGGGTGGATCACAATGTCACCACACACTCCAAATACAAGCAAAAGAGCCAGAAGGCCAGTTCAAGAGTTCACAGTACAAACAAAGCAAGCAACGAACTCAAGACTACGCAAGGTGAGAACCAGTGTCAACGAGACCTAACTGCACACAACACCTCTGGTGGTCACAAGGCGGAAGCGCCTTGGTGAAGATGTCTGCAGTGTTGGCCTCGGACTCCACAAAGTCGAAGAGAGCCTGTCTACGCCTCTGCAACTCTCGCAGAAAAAATTACCTGATGTTGATGTGCTTCACTCTGCTCTCCAGTCGCGACTCTCGACAGAGGAGAATCAACGCCTTGTTGTTAGTGAACAAGGTCGGTGCAGAGCTCGGCCGCTCACCAAGGTCAGTGAGTAAGAAGGTCAACCAACACAGCTCCTGTGCAGCCAACTTCAGCGTAGATCTCAGCCTCAGCAGTGAAGGTCGAGACCGAGGAGGAACGTGTAGACCTCCACGAAACAGCTCTAGAGCCCAGGCTGAAGTAGTACCTCTGAGTAGACCTGTGAGTCTCGGCATCGTCAGCGTAAGAAAAGTCACAATGTCCAGTAAGTACAACAGACTGCTGCCCTCCAAGAACCAGCCCTACGCCTGATGTCGTCGCTTAGTACTTCGCCACCCTCACAGCAGCTGTCTAGTGAAATGGACGGTGTCTCCTTGGCGCAACAAAGCGACCAAGGATGCTGAGAGGGAAGGCGAGGTCCGGGAGAGTACAAGTCATCAGGTACATGAGGCAGCCCACAAGCTCTGCGTAAGGACCACTAGGCTCAAACGGCTCGTCAGGGAAGGGTCCAGTGAGTCTGTGGTCAACAACAAGAGGTGTGCGCTGTACTGTGGAGCGCTGAAGCTCGAACCGCAAAAGGACGTGCTGCACCATGTGTGACTGTGAGAGTGTAATGGTGCGAGCGACTCTGTCCCTGGTGATCTGCAGGCCAAGGTAGTGGCGCAGCTCACCAAGTTCAGTGCATGTGTGTCTCTTCTGCAGTTCGCGCTTCACGTCAGCCAAAGCAATCCTTGCAGTAGTGGCGAAAACCAGGTCGTCGACGTAGACCAGAACAAAGAACGGTGTGGAGCCACGCCGAACAAACAGCGACAGGTCGGCAGAAGACGGCTGGAAACCGAGGTCAGAAAGGGTAGAGCGCAGGGTGTCGTGCCACTCATGAGGAGCCTGACGGAGACCGTAGACCGGTCGCCTCAGCCTCCACTGGGTCCCAGGAGGGAAAGTGCCAGTAAAGGCAGAGGGACGACGCAGCCAGACCTCCTCGTGTAGGCTACCCTGAAGGAAAGTAGTGGAGAAGTCGAGAGAGTGTAACTCGTAGTCTCTTTGTGCTGCTACGTGAAGTAACACCCGAAGAGTGGTCATCTTTGGGGTAGGCGCGAAGGTCTGAAAGAAGTCAACTTCCTCGCGCTGACTGAAACCTCTGGCCACATAGCGTGCCTTGAAGACCAGAGGAGATCCCGGTGGCCGCTTCACCCTGAAGATCCACATACCATCGAATACGTTCGCCCCAAGGGGGGGAACCTCGTCGATGTAGGTGCCTGTGGATCTCTAGGAGGCCATCTCTGAGTTCATGGCAGCTCTCCACTGATAGGCCCAAGGCCTTGACACTGCCTCAGCGTAAGTGCGAGGAGTCGGTATGTCAAAGGCGTCAGGGTCTCCCTCAGGGGCGAGCAGCATGGCACAGAGATGAAGGGAAGCAGCTGCCAAGAACTCCAGCTCAAACTGCCTGTCCTCTAAGGGCAGACTCACCCCCGATGGCCAGAGGACTGGTAGGCGGAGCAGCCACAAGACTGGTGGAGTAGTCAAGGCGGCGAGTAGAGGCAAAATCAGTGACTGCGGCAGTAAGGGCAGCGACAGAGGAGAGAGACGCACGAGGGTCGGTAACAAGAGAGGCGAGAACACGAGAGAGAACATGACAGTATGTGTGGTAGTAGTCCGTGACAGGAGTAGAGAGGGAAGCAGTGAGAGCCGACTCAGGAGGAGGAGAAGGAACTACAGAAGGAGACGTATGAGGCGGACTAGAACAAAACAGGGCAGTACGAAGGTCAGAGAAGGGAAAAGGGGACGAGGGACGAGCACGAGGAGAGCGACGCGAAGGCCAAGTGTGAGGAAGAGGAGGGGACAACGGAGGCAGAGTAGGAGGGAAAACAGCTGGGGAGGGGTCAGGAGGAGGAAGCGGAGGACCAGAGACGGGAGGAGAGGGGGAGGGGAGATCGAGGGTCCGAAGTCTAGAGACAGGAGGAGGAGGTGGAGGCTGCTGCTGCGGCTGCTGTTGCTGCTGCTGCTGCTCCGGCTGCTGCTGCTGCTCCTCCACCCGTTGTAGCTCCAGGTGCCGCCGCTCCAACTCTCTCTCCTCTCGCTCCAACTCCAGCTGCTCCTCACGTGCACGGCGAACACGGGCCTGGTGCTAGGTCAGGTAGGGGTGGGGGGGAGGAGTAGTGTCTGGAGCGGCGGTAGCCCCAGGACCGCTCTCCAAAGCACCAGTCCCACCACCCCCATAGTCAACACCACCAACAGCAGCGCAGCCAGTCCCAGACTCTCCAGGCCCCGCAGTGGGCGCACCCGCAACCCCAAGCGTAGCACTCCCAGGGACGGCACCACTAACACCAGCTCCCCTAGACTAGAGTCGCCTATAGTCACGGGCTCAGCTCCAACTCCAGCACCCCCAGAACCAGGATCTTGCACAGGTACGCTCTCAGCTCCAACTCCTCTAGAGCTAGCACCTCCAGGGTCATCGCCACGAACACCAGTTCTCGCAGGGTCTGCAGTAGGATGTGAGGAGGACTGTGGGGAAAGAGGCTGCACCTGAGGGGCTACCGAGGGGGGAGGGGTAGCGTGGGACACACCTGACGGGGCTGCACCAGGGGGGGGAGGCTGTACCGGGGGAGCAGGAGGGGGAGCTGAAGTCAAGAAGAGAGGGGGAGGAGGAAGCGGGAGACCTCGATAGGGGTACCTGGCGTAGTAGGGGACGGACTCACTGAAATGAATGTCACACGAGTCAAAGAACCAGTGAAGGGGAGGGTGGTAAAAAGTGAAGTCAGAGGAGTCCTCTGGGAAACCAAGGAAGACATAGGGAACGGCGCGAGGCGAGAGCTTGTCCGTGGAGGTGTCGCGAACAAGTGCCAAGCAACCCCAGACACGAAAGCACGACGCAGCACCAGGGGACCCGGTCCTAAGTGAAACCTCTGGCTGAGAGACACGTGGCCAGAGGTTCAACTGGTGAGCGGCGTACCGAACCGCGTAGGGCCACAGAAAATGGGGGGCACGGGCGTGAGTCAAGGAGGTGTGGGAAATCTCCATGACCAAGCCTATGCGGGGCTTAGCAACCCCATTCTGCTGTGGGGACCCTGTAAGGGTCAAGAACTGACAGATGCCCTGCTCACGACAGAATCCAGCGAGAACCCCGGAGCGAAACTCACCCCCGCGGTCGGAGTGAAGACAGCTGACACGACGACCACGAGTGTCCGCAGTGGTAAGTCACCACCGGATCAGCGTAGAAGTCACCTCAGACTTCTTCGCCACGGAGAACACTGTGGTGTAGCGGGAGTAGTCGTCAACGACCACCAGAAAG